CCCTCCCTCCCTCCCTCCCTCCCTCCCTACCTCCCTCCCTCCCTCCCTCCCTCCCTCCCTCCCTCCCTCCCTCCCTCCCTGCTTCTCACCCCCTCCAGCGAGTGCTGCAAGTGCGTCTCGTCCAACAGCGGCTCTTCTAGTGACGCCATCGCTTGTCCTGCCTTCACCCTCTCGTCCTCTCGTCCTCCTCCTCCTCCTCCCTCCCCTGTCGCTCTACGTCAGCTCTCCTCCTCGCCTTCTCCTCGCCTCTCTACCTGCCGCTGCCTCCGCCATGGCCTGTTGCTTGCATATTCCCAGCACCTGCGTCAAGCCATTTACACCCTTCCCACTGTCGCGTCTGTGTCTTCTTCCTCCTTCTCTCCCTCTCTCTCCGTCTTCTCTTCCCCTCTCTCACCTTCCTTGACACCTCCTCGAACCTCCTTCCTGCCGCTTCAAACCGCCTCCCGATGCTCTCCAGTTCCGCTCGCTCCCCTCGGTCCAGGTTTCGGTCGCTCAGTCGCTTCTTCAGCCACTGTCCTGTCCTCTGCGCGATCGCCTGCCCCTTCTCCGCCAGCGCCTCTGCTTTCTTCAGCTGTGCCTGCTCCTCTGTCAGACCTCCTGCCGCCTCCCACCCCTCTCCCTCCTCTCGTCCCGCCCGCATCAGTTTAGAGAGGTTTGAGGACTGATCACGCGCACGAGGCTTCGGCAGGGCTGCCATGCTCTCTCCTCGGCATCGGACTCCAGCCGCACATCTAGACCCATCAGGCATGGGGTCGAGCCAGCAGGACAGGACGCTGAGAGACAAGGAGCAGCCAAGACAGCGGGCGAGGGCAAGGGATGCTATAAACAAATCGAAGAGGAACAAGGGAGGGAGAGGGAGCGGGAGAGGGAGCGGGAGAGGAGGAGGAAGAAGACGCAGACCGACAGTGGGCTGGGGGGGCTGAGGAGCGACGAGCGAGGCCTCGAGCTCCTTCGCCGCAGCCTCGAGCTCCTCCGTCCCCTCCGTTCCTCGCGCCATCTTGTAGCTGCTTGACTATAGGGGCGGTGTGGTGAGATAAAACGGTTGACTATAAAGCTATCTACTTTGGATAAGTAATATTGACTACAAATATTGCATGCCCCGTTGAAGTTGACTATAAGAATGTTCGCAGAGGGGGACCTTAATAAGACTTATAGTCAAAATGGCACAAAATTTTGTGGTCAAAAGGAGACGGAGAGGGAAATGTTGCGATGTAGATAGTGACGATAAGTGACGAGCATGCTTCTTGATGATGGAGGTGCGTTCTGTTCGATGAGTCAAGATCCCTAAGGAGGAGGAGGAGGAGGAGGAGGAGGAGGAGCGGGAACGAAGAAGAGGACGAGAACGAGGATAAGAACATTACAACGAGTTGCGAAAGTATACAATACCAAACATGTCCACAAAACGATCCTTTTGGGAACCTTGCTCGACATTGATTCTGCCGTAACGAGGAGAATTGCACTGGGAATGCGGGAGCAGGGAGGCATCGTCGCTGACCTCTTTCTTGTCTTACCTGCATCACTGTTCTCTCAACCTGTCACCATCTTCGCGTGTTTCTATCCCTGGGCACTGATGTTAGTGGAACCTTCCTTCCTGTGGCTTTCCCTGTGCGTCCTCCCCTTCACCCTCCTTGCTCTGGTGCTGCTTGCTCTGGGGGCCAAGTTTCGTGAAGGCTCGGCCCCTCACCTCGCCATCACTCTCATCGGCGACGGCCTCTTGATTCCCGTCGGGATCGCTTCATCATTGCTGTTGCGCAGGGGATCAGAGGTCCTTTCTGTCCTCTTCATCTCAACTTTGTTCGCGCAAAGAGTCAACCAGGTCCCTCCTCCTCTATTCCGACACCTGCTGACCTGTCGCTTCTCCAGATTATCAAGAAAGCATTCGCTAGGCCACGTCCTCCAATCGAATGGCCGGACAGTTTCCAAGGGAGAGGGTGAGAGTCCTCCTCCTCCTGCCCGTTCTCTCCTCGTCCTCGTCCTCGTCCTCGTCCTCGTCCTCGTCCTTGTCCTCGTCCTCGTCCTCCAACTTCTGCTCGGCTTGATGTTTCCTGAAGGCAATGGCTCAACGTGAGGGCGTGGACTGTGCATGAGGGAAGACAGAACAAGGGCTGCCTGCCGCAGGACCTCGAATCCTTCCCATCCGGCGACAGCGCACAAGGAGGAGCTCTCCTATCTGCCCTGATGATCCTCGCCCCGCCTCCCTGCAAGAGTCTCCTCCTCCTAGCCATGCTGGCGGTGGCGCTGGGCAGAACGTACTTTGGGTGCCACTGGCTCCTCGACTCCATCAGCGGGCTGGTGCAGGGGATGCTCTGTTCTTCTGTCCTCCGCCTGTGCGGATTGCTGCAAGGAGATGGGAGAATCCTGTTCAATTTCGTAGGAGGAGCAATCTGTTACGTTCTCAGTGGAATAGGTGAGTGGATGTTACGTTGCAAGATACCTAGAAATGTAATGCCACTTACAGGCCAGCGAAGGTTGCTGATGAAGAAAGAGAGAGAGAAAGAGTCATGACGGGGCTCAAAGACGGCGGGGGAGAATTGTGCACATGCAAGCAATGCCATCGAAAGGAATTTCAACTTCATTAATGGAATAATTTTCTTCAATTAATAACATTCACATGCCTCATGCATTCAGTTCTCTTCATCACATTGCAAGCTCTACACAGCAATCTCCTGCACGCGCATCATGGCAGGAGCCCATGTCGGGCTTCCATTCATTTCCCTAAGGCCAGCGTCCACCGGCCCGTGCTCAGGATGCGGATAGCAGGCGCTCTGCCTGGAGATCGGACCTCTCACGTTCCTCCTCTCCGAGCTGTCCATCAACTTCAACATGCGAGACTGCGACCTTGTCTTGACCGCAGGTACCTGTTCCTCCTCGTACGGGAGGTGGGAGAACTCCGACCACAGGTGAGGCTGGAGGTTGTCCTTCAGCATGTCCCCGCTACTGCGATCCTTGTCGGAGCAGTTCAGGTGGAAGCAAGTGGCTGGTCGCCGCGACTCCGGTCTGTGCGCGTTGAACTGTGCGATCCACGAGAGGGCATCTGCGCTAATGGCCCTTCCAACTTCCTCTCCATCCTTGCCGTTGTCTCTCGAGACGTCCTCTGTCCTGTTGGAGGATGGCTTGCGCTTCATGTACCGTGGGTTCGCCTGTCCTGGGTACTCAGGGCCAGCCGGTCCTGAGGGGCTGCTATCATCCAGTTGGCTCAATCCCCTCCTCTTGCTCTTCTTCGGAGCGGCACGCTGGTCATTCTTGCTCAGGCTGCGCCACGACGAGCCTTCGAAGGATGCCTTCAGCTGAGGAACCACGTCGTGTCGATCTCTCAGTTCCATCGGGTGAGTGCTCCTTCCAATTCTGGCCAGAGTTCTTTGCTGCAGCGCTCCTAGCGACATGCTGCTGCCCTGGCCCAAGTTCAAATTTTCTCTGCTCACGTTGGACATTCTTCCACGTCGATTATGGTGAGCTGAAGGAGTTCGAACAGGAAGCAGAGACTTCCTGTTCAAGATGAATTCTCCGGTCGAGAAGGGATCAATGGGAGCTCTGCTTTCTTTCATTCTTGATGCTCTTGGGATAAATAAATCAAATCAGTCTCTCTGGTAGTTGCGTTATTGCGTTTAGTTTTCGCTCAAAATCCGATCCAGCCTATGGCTGTTCACTTGTCCTTTGAACGTTGTCTTTACAAACAGGAGGAGACGATCCTGCAATTCATCCTTGGCTAGCTTTTTGCTTCCGAAGCCAACCCAACAGTCCTTGTTTTGCTTGCTCCGTTTTCAAGTCTTCCAGTCTATCGGCTTATCCTCTTGCTACCGTACTTCCTCCTCCTCTCCTCCTCTGAGAGCAATCGAAGTCCTCCTTCTTCTTGCCTCGCAATCTCCTTTTTCTTCAACTCCACTTCCTCCTCCCACCTCCGGTTCACGTCTGCATGGAACAACCAACTTATCGTCAGTTTGACCACCCCCTCCGAGTCGAGTTACATTGCCCCCAAACCCATTCCTTGCCTTACCCCACCCCTATTCACACCACTGACCCACCCTCTATTTTAATGCCTGGGGGTTGTTACCCCCTGAAACGTCTACCCCACCCGTGCAGGGGGCACCAAGCAAGATCACACCCCTCATAATAATTGAAATCGCACTACTTTTTATATGTGCGCTGGTTTGTAAAATGCAGAACACCGGTCCTGCATCACCCGCCAACGACGAGGGGTCTGCTTCCCTTTACCCCACCCCTCATTTTGACACCCCCACCCCCATTAGAACATGCTCATTTCTTCCAACACCCGTTATTTCACAGCAATTGCAGACCACCCCACCCCTCTGTCGTCTTAATGACCTCGGAGTTCCCATCCCCGTTGGGGCTGAAGCACCCACCCCTCTATTATAGAGCGTGTACCCCACCTATCCAAGAGAAAATCAAAATTTGTTCCCTACCTCACCCACCCGAATCGGAAACTTCTTCATGACCCCTCCCCTCTCCATCCTTGATTATGACCCCCTGGTCCTTCACATTCTGGACCATCACCCACCCCCTTGTTCAAATCAAGAGGAATGGTGGGTACATGAATGAAATATATTCTTTTCGTATTAGCCGCAGTCACTACCCCTGCTCACCGATTGCGCCCACTCCTTCCGCCACTCCTAATTCCATTGCTTCTTGGCAGTCTGTTTTACATGACCTTATCAAAGTTGATATATTTCCCTCTTATACCGCCCAAGATAGGCCATCATCCTGATGTTCATGCGTCCTTGAGCGCCATCATGTCATTACTCTTATCATGGGATTTGAGGCTCTTGCTGATCACAAGTTTGACTTGGGCGGAGGGTGGGTCCTACTCGTCCTGCTGTAGTAAATCGTGAGAGGTAGGGGTTAAAGTTACACGTATTTTTGGGGGTGGAATGATGGGGCAAACGCACGGACTGGTGGATGATGGGGGTGGTAGGTACTGAAAACGCTTTATAACTTAGTTTTTAGATCTCTCGGTGATTTGATGTACCGGTGGGTGGTATTGAGAGGGCACCGTGGTGGTAGAAGCTCTTGAGGGGGTAGCTTGTTTTGGGGTGGTCCCTTTCCTTTAGGAATGGTGGGGTACGTCTGACTGAAATAGGGGGTTATCAAAGTGGAGGAAGAAGTTTGGGGGTGGTGAGATTTCAAGGTTATCAGCGAAGTGGATGAGTCGTTTCATTTAGGGGGTGGGGTAGGGGTATCTGTGGTACAAAACGTGTTTTGGGCGGGTGAAAACCCTAGGACCCCATCCCTGACAACTTGCAGCTCAATTGGACCCCTACCCCCATAGTTCATAAGAAAAAAGCGATCAAGTAGGGTCCTAATCAGTACCCTACACCCCCTAGTAGCCATATCTCCTACTCTACCCACGACCCCTACCTACCTACCAGGCCCCTCCCTGTAGGTGACATCAAAAAAGCCGAAAATCACCCAGCAAATCTCGACCTCCACCCCCACCCCCAAAGTAACAGAGGTCATAACCCCTTCATTTTCATTACCGCGACTCACTACTGGCATTTTTAACTTAACTTTGAAAAAAGAAGCTTCTTGCAGCATCCAAGTTAACTTGACTCAAGTCGGCAACTTGACCGGGCCGGGGGGGCCGACCCGCGGCGGGCCGCAACGTGCTACGGTGGCACCGGGCCCGGCCACCGTGACAAGAGTGAGTTCAAACTGAGGAGTAGGTCCGGCCGCCCGCGCGGCGGCAATCCGTCAAAGTTTGACTGGGGTGACCGGCCGGGCCGGCCGCCGGGCGGGCCGCCGGATCATCGGATCGGATGACTCAGTGACTCGATGATGAATGACAGTGAGTCCGGTGACCCGGTATCGGACCACGATAATCATCGGATTGCAACGAGAGCTTGCCTGATCGGCCGGGGCCCGGGGGCGCGGCGGATCCGACACTGATGCCCGGCCCGGTCACTGTGGCCGCACTGGCCGCCGGTGAGTGCCACTGGCGGCCGCGGGCCCGGCCCAAAAGCTTGACTCTGTCGGAGCATCCCGCGGCCCGGTCCGATCCGACTCGGAGCCTAGCCAGGAGCCCTTGAAGTCCTGACTCGCGCCGTGACTGAAGGTTTCGGCCCAACCGTGACGGTTTACCGAAGCTGGAACTATCAATCTACCAAAGCCTCCTGGGCTTATCGCCCATGGAACGGCGGAAAGGTTATAGGAGTGTTGGGAGTACCGCAGGATGTGGCTGATGCTGTAAAGGATGCGGAGTGAGAAAGGGTTCACAGATGGGAAAGAGAAGGGGAAGGAAAGGGAGCCTGACGAGGGCAGGAGAAAGGTCAGGGGGAAAACTTACCAGCATTGGGGCAGTTGAAGAGAGAAACTCCTCCTCCTGGAGTCGCAGTGTAGCAGGATCGAACCTGCCGCGGCGGGAGGTCATAAAAGGGAGGGAGGGAGGGAGGGAGGAAGGGAGGGAGGGAGATGGGATGGCGGTAGTGACCTCAAAGATCTGCAGCGATCCTTGCGCATCCGTGTTGCAGCCAAGCTCGACCTGTTATAGGAGTGAGACAATCTTGGGACCAGGATGGGGATGACAGCGGCATGATGCGACCAAGGGAGGATGAGGCGGCGATGAGGAGGAAGGAATGATGAGACCAGGAGGAAGGGATGCAGGAGACATCTGCAGAAGCTCTTGGAGAAGAGTCTTCCTCACCTCGTACGGGTATCCTTTCTTCATAGCCTCCTTTGCCTGAAGGATGAAAGATCAGTCCAAGAGAAGCCGGCAACAGCTCTGCGATCACTTCCGCCCACGTGGTCGTGTCCCCAGGGTTGATCCCAGCAGCAGAGAGGAACCTTGTAGAAGCAGTCAATTGAACCCTCCCCATCCTCTCCCTCCCCTCTTGCCCTTCAAGTCACCTCCCTCCTTCTCTCCTCTTGCCCTTCTCTCCCTCCCCTCCTCTCATCCTGTTTCGATGCCTCCCCCCGCCCCCCCTCCTCTCTCGTTTTCTCGCAGTCTGCTCTTCCTTTTTCTTACTTGAAGACGTCGAACTTCTCTCGCAGATCGAGGACCAGCCTGAAGTAGGCATGTTCCTTCTGTGGGGCTGTAAAGATTTTCTCCGCGCAAGTGCCATGCCGAAGCCATCTGCTCCCAGTGTTAGAGCCTGGAGGTCACATGGAGGGAGAGTCGACTCGTGCTCCCAGAAGGAAGATTGGTCGGGAGCCACAAGCGACGGCCAATACTGTTGAAAAGGATAAGCAGCAGGCCAAGATAGGCATGTAGGAAGAAGGAACAAGCATGATTGAGCGGAGAGACGACAACAGAAGAGGGGAACGGCACTGCCAAGGTGCGAACACAGCCAGGAAGCAGATGCACGACCTTCTCCAGCTCAGGAAGGAGGTCTTGAATGGCTGACATATTGAACGGGGCATCCTGGGTAGGCGCAGTCTCATAAGACCTTCCACCCTATAGCCTTGATCCTCTCAATCTCTCAACTGCAGTCACTTACCTTGTCGCAGTATTGCGGCCATGAACCATTGAAGAACTCCGGCCACAGGCCATGCAGAAGCCATCCCTGAGTGACGGAATCATGCAGGATGGAGAGGGCGGATGAGCAGGGAATAAGGGTGACGGATTTTAACTCTGCGGACCACGGAAGGAGAGCGACAGAGCGAGGGGAGGGGAGGGATGGGAATGAAGCAGGGGAAAGGGGAGAGCAGCAAGAGCAAGAAGAGAGGGAGAGGTGGAGGAGAAAGGATGGGCTAAGAAGTGAGAAAGGCGAGGATGGTAAATAAGCATTTGGTTTTCAAATTACCGTCGTTGGCTCAACCCTGTACAGTGCAGTTTGTCAGAATCATTGAACCCGTCACGTCGGATATTGATAGGGAGAATCATGCTGACATCATCATGATAAACACACAATCATCATTTCTTAATACAATGATTTTGATGTGAGCAGTAGAAATGATGATGATCAAAACACAGAGTAGTAACATTGGACGTCACATTGAGAACAATCACGGGGGTAGTTCATGTACGTGAAGTCGAATCAAGATGATGTAAGAGATCAGCACGACAATTTGTTGGCAAGACATAAAAACCTTCGCTGCTTACTTTGGCCAAGTACATCCCTTCTTGGTATCGCAGAACGATCCAGGCCATTCCTGCATTTTTGACATGCTTCATTGTTTGCAAAGAGCTTCTGGTAATCTCACCTGTACAAGATGCATGTAGTCGAAACCAACGTCTCCTGCCTTCTTGGAATCCACCTCATGCCTCCTTCCCTTCTTCAGAGGGATGGCAAGGCAAGAGGACGCCAATATCATGACGACCTGCTCGCTGTCATTCTGGAGATTCTAGGCGCGCTAGCAATGCAGTGAAACAATCATGATGTTCGAGGCAACGTATCAAACTAACACAATTGATGACAAGCTAATCAGCAATGGAGATGGAAGCAATTTCGCCCGGGATCATCAAGAAATGCCGCGGGAACGAGAAGGGCCGAAAGAGGCAAGAGGGCGCAAAATGGAGCCACTGGTACCCGGCAGATCCGCGATACAGAGAAGCGATGCGATTGAAGATAGAGGAGAATCAAGGGATTGCAACATGCATGAGATCATTCAAGACACAAGAAAGATCACGATGGCAAACGATCAACTTTTAAGGATCGATCCATAGATCGTAAACCCATCAAAAACGCTATCTGAAGGATTTTTTTTCATCTGTGCGACGTCGCCTTCCAGACTTCATCTACAAATATACTTCTCATACATGTCGTTCACCTTATCGCCATGTTTATCGTCTCCATCTGATATCCTTCTGCTTCGAATCTACCAGTTTCCTCCCTTCAGCAAACACTACTCCTCTCCTACCTCTTCCTCTCTCAATCTTCCACTTCCCATCTTCCATCTTCCACCTGTCTTGCCATGAAGACAAAGTGATGGGTCTTGATTCAACCCTCTCCCTCCTCCTCTGCTCTCCTCCCTCCCGCCTTACCAGGCATCTCGTTGCCGCCGCCATAGACAAAACCAAGAGACGTATGAAATGCAAGTTTGTTGGGAAGAGGAACATTAGGGGGTAGGGTGATCCTTTATTGGGGTGGGGGTCCATTGATCTGTCAATGGATAGTCATAATCAGGGGTATTTGGTACTCAATAGTACGGGTAATCAAGTTTTCCCTGGGGTAACCAACTTTCAAGGAGGTGTGGATGACAATCAATCTGAGATTCCCTGCTGGGGTGGGGGTTAACAATCAGGGGTAGGACCAAACTTGGATGAGGATTTACCACGGATGGGTGGGGTTATTTCATATAGTCAATCAGGGTGAGGGTAGTGTGAATTTGTCTTTGGGTGGGTAGGGTACTTGATGGTGGAGGTACAGTCTTTAGGTGTAAGGGGCTGGTAGGGTAGATGGGGCCCATGTGAGAAATAAAAATTGGGGTCAGGGGTGGGGCAATAATTTTGAAGGGGGGTAGGGGGTATCAGACTTTTGGACAGGAGGGGGGGGGATACTTGATATGAAAGTCACTGGTAAAGCAAGGGTAGGGTAATTTTGCAAGAAATCCAAGGGTGGGGTAACCAAAGTCAGGAGTGAAAAGGGGTGGGTAGTCAGTGGTTTGAATCAAATGCGAAATGGGTAGATTGAGTCCAGTGTGTAGAAGGGAATGAGAGGAGGAGAGAAGGCCTTGACGACGATGACGACGATGTGGAGGAGGAGAAGGAGAAAATCATGATGAGATCCAAGAAGGGAACGAGAAGCTTGAGTTGGTAGACGAAGAGCAGGAATGTGAGCTGTGGTGTGATGATATGTAGACATGTGCTGGGCTAGTTGCATCCGAATCGTTGTGTTGATTGGAATTGAAGGATGCAATGGTGCGCTATGACTGATTAATGATGATGTTTGAAGAAGCTTGAAAAGACTGCGAATTGAGCTTTTGCTTGAATGTTTTATAAGTTTCACCCATGCTACTACATAGACTATTGATGGATCAAAATGGTATTCAGAAGCGATCCTATGGCAGTCAAGCGGGACGAAGGCATTCGGACATGCATGCATACCTAAAGAGAAGCATGTTGGAAGGGAGGAAATTGTTTGTTACCGAAGACGGCATGGAGGGGCCATTAGGATAACAATTTCGACCCTCAATGTTCGATCCAAGGGTCCTGGAGTGATAGCGAAGAAATCCATATCTAGACCTGCTGGCAAAGACCCTGTTTGTGGGTGATGGCCTCGATAGAGTTTTGATGAGAGGAAAGGGCACTGCCTTGCAAGATGTTGCATGTATGATTCTGACCGAACATTCATGCAGGATCCCACAAAAACCGATCACGACGATGGCAAGCTGAAACAAGGAGCTCTGGGGTGGCAGTAGAAGAGGAGGAAGAGACATAGCGGCAAGGGATCGGAACCTCCACTCATCGATGCCTCTTCCTCGCAGGAAGTGTAAGTCTCCCTACCGGCCCTCACTGAAGAGGAGGGAGAGCCAGGAGACTGAGAGCTTGAAGAAGAGCAGCAGCTCGCGTCGAGCCCACTCGCTCCGTCCCCTCAAGACTTCCCTGGTCGGGAAGCGGAAGAAGCCGGTCAGCTCCAAGGGATCGAGCACGCGAGGAAGCCTGAGGAGCACGAGAAGTGCCGGTGCTGTGAGGAGATCATCAGGCAGGACTCCGGAGAAGTCGCGACCTGTGGCCAACAAGAAAGTTTCGAAGACGAAGCAAGCAAAGAAGGAGAAAGTGAAAGAGGAGAAATCTGAGGAGGAGGAGGAGGAGGAGGAGGAGGAGGAGGATGAAGGAGACGGTGAGGAGGAGGGGGAGGAGGAGGAGGAGGAGGAGGAGGAGCAGGCAAAGCCCAAAAAAGCTTTCTTTAGCGACTTGCCTGTGGATTCCAAGAGACGAAAGAAACAGGAAGCTGAAGACAAATTCTTCGCCCAAAGGTGCGTGACATTCTACATGTGCTTGTTCTCGTCTGACCAGCCCACAAGGTTGCAAGCACAGATCAAATCAGCAGGCAAAGGTGAAAGAGGTGATGCTGGACATGTCGAAGCTGCAGCGCTGATTCCATCGTGCAGGGGCTCAGGGTCACAGCAAGGAGAAGGGGAAGGGGAAGGAGAAGGAGAAGGAAGAGGAAGAAAAGAAAGAGGTCGGGGCGGAGGAGCAAGACAACGAAGGAGAGAAGGAAGGGGAGCAGAAACAGGGAGGCAAGGAAGAGGAGGGGGGAAAGGGGACGGAAGAGCAGGAGAGCTCAAAAGAGGAGGCGACTCCTAAAGGAGCTACGGATCAGAACGGGAAAAAGGCAACAAGCAGCGAGCCTGTACGCTGTGCTTGGAAGGGATCGTGTAGCTGAAGTCCCTTAGCAGGACGTCGGCACTGTCAATCAGTCCAACGGCCTCAAGCCTAGTGGGAGCAACAATGAAGCGAACAAGAATGAGGGGAGTAACGAGGATGGTGAGAAAACTATGGCTGCCCCCTCCTTTCTTTTGTTTCTTATGCATCTGCTTGCTTATCTCCAATTTGCTCCTCCCCCCTCCCTCCTTCCTCCTTGTCTGCTTTCTCTTGTTCTCCTGTAAATATTCTTCACCTCGTGTCACTGCATCTTGCCAGATTCTCATCCCCCTGCTTCTTCGGGTCAACCCTCAAGCACTCCCGCGGCCCCGCTGCAGGGACAACCGACAGTAGTGCCCCCAGCAAAGGTGAGCTAGCTCTGCCCTGTTTGACCCACACTCGAACTGAAGGTTTCATCCTTTCTTTGCCTTCCTCCTTCTCCTCCTCCTCCCTGGCAGCCGAAGAGAAAAAGAAAACCCAAAGCCAAGAACATCTATCAGAACACTTTCTACTTCACTCACACGGCCGGAGTCTTCCATGCGGCGAATCCCAAGGATCAATGGGTCACTGGTGGAAGTCAAAATTACCCCAAGAATTTCAATCAGGTGACAACACTGCTCAAAAAAACTAGTGATCCTGATCGTCACGTCCTACTCCTCCGTCTCCTCCTCCCCCTCATCGACTGACCATGGCATTCTGCATTTCCACCTCTTGCTATGCTTCATGCTCCGACGTCTTATCCGTTCGTACCTCACTCTTCCTCCCCTTCCAAGGCCATCACCGATGGGTCGAGCTCGAGGTTCACCATGATCGAAGACTCTTCCCGCCCCAAGGTCAGTCGCTCCCTCCACCTGCCTCCTCCTCACTTCTCCCCCAGGCCTCGGACACCTGGGATGGCTCGCTCGCTCTCACCGTCCCAGGAGATCAGCATGTTCCTGCTTACGCCCCCATCAAGTGGGGCAGCAAGGCGGCAAAGCAGCTCGCGGCCGACTTGGAGCAGGGAGGCAGGCAACCCCTGCTCGATCAGCACGCATGGAATTCGGTCCCCTCCGCCGCCAGCACCTCGACGACCAACCACTTGGAAGGATCGAGCACTGTCAGGAAGGCTCCCTCCCTCCAGTCCAGCTCTTCCTCAGCTGTCGAGACCAGCGCAGTTCATCCCATCTCGGTGGCATACAACAACCTGGCGGGTGCTGCTGGGGTTCAGCAGAGCTACGGCAGGGCAACGAGCTCGCTGCAACAGAACCTGCCAACGTATCCGTTCGACGCCTCTCACTCCTATCCTCTGCAGATGCACCTCTCCTCCCTCCCCCAGTTCGCGCCCTCCTGCCCGAGCCAGCAGCTCCAGCAGAGCCTCCAGCAGGAGATGCAGAAGCAGCTGCAGCAGAAGCAGCTGCAGGAGATGCAGAAGCAACTGGAACTCCAGCAGCAGCAGCAGCAGTTCGCCATGGCAGCGCACAAGGCCATGCAGCTGAACGCGCAGCCCATTTCCCTGCTCGGCGCCGCCGCTGTCAACAACTTCTTTGCCAACCCGACGAACGTGGGACAGCAGCAGCAGCAGCAGCAGCTCATGGAGAACTACCTCCTCGCCTGCCAGAGCCGATCCAACTTTCCCGCCTTGAGTGCAAACGGCCTTGGAAACGTCTCGAGCTCGTATCTTGGATCTGCAGGCCTGGCAAGCGCTGGCTGGGGTACACCTGGGGATGTACTAGGGAAGTCGTCGAGCGACAAGAGCAGCCAAGGCCAGAGGTCCTCGGCGAGCATCACCATCCTCCCAGAGGGCAACGGCGTGCAGAATTCCCAGCTCAGCTCGGGCCAGGTTGTTGTGCTTGCTCGCATGCGTGCCAGACTGACGTCTCCTCTCAGCAGGCTTCCAGCATATCCAGCTCGCTGTTGAACCAGAGCAGCAGCCTACCCACGGTCTTGCAGCCCAAGGCCTCAAAGCCGAGGAAGGGAAGGCAGGCATCTTCTACCGCCTTGCCGAGCTCTGCCGAGTTCTCCTCGCAGCTCCTGGAGTCCAACAGCAACTCGTGGGCTGCTGCCCTTGGGGGTCAGAGCCAGTTCAACACTGTGCAGGGTACGGTCATTTCAAACTCAAACCGCTCCCAGGTGAGCCTCAGCAGGCTTTTCCAGCTGAACCCCCCCCCCCCCCCCCCCCCACATTCTCCCCACCTTCCTTCTTCTTCCCCTGACGAGCACGGCAGGCGATCTACGCTGAGATGTGGAAGGCTCATCACCCGATGCACGTGCCTGTCGCCATGGCGACGAACGCTACGTTCGTAGGGCTCACGAGAGTTCCCACAGGGAGCTCGAGCAGCAGCGGGCTGACGTCGGGGCCCCGTCCAACCTCAGCTGCCGTTCCAGCTGAAGTTGTCCACGACACCGAGAGCGATACCGAGAGCGACTAGTAAGACTGTTGAGTGCTCGACCTCTCCGATCGTTCGCCTGTAGATGATGGTGCAGTACTTGAAGGGATTATAGTTGAAGGAGGGGAGAGGGGGAAAGAGGAGGCGGGTAGAAATTGTTCGTCGGTGAGTACGGTTGAGTTAAATCTGGTAGCGAATACGTAAGGGTTAGTACAGGAACCTTAACTGTCACCGGATGTCAAGAATTTATGAAGGTGAAAACTTTCAAAGGGCCCGTGGCCGGCAGGGCGAGGCTTAGTCGGATGCTGAGGCTACTGCACTGAGCACCGTGGCCTCCCCTGAGCGCCTCAGTGAGGCAAACTCGACCAACCGGCTCGGGGGGAGACCCTTGCCGGGTCCTCCGAAGTTCAGTGAACTTCCGAAGACAGAGATCCTGCCTACTGCTGCCCCCGAAACTTAACTGATACCTTCACTTAACTTCGCGCAGGACCAGACCCCCGCACCCGGCTGCCCGGCCGGTCATGGTTGAACTGCAGTGCGCCCCGGGCCCGGCACGGCCCGGCCAGTGCCGTGCGCCGGGCCCTCCGGGGGCCCGGCAGGTGAGGAGGAGAGAGAGAGGGAGAGAGGGAGGGAGAGAGGGAGAGAGGGGTGGGGGGGAGGGGAGAGGAGAGAGAAGCTAGTGAGGTGGAGGGAGAAGGAGTTCGAGACTCCAGCGGCAAGCAAGGATGAGAGCGATGGCTGCTATGGAAGTGAAGGAATGGCAGGAGGCGAGCTGCTGAGACCATGGATTGCAGAGTTTCTTGAGGATGTAGATGAAGCAGCAGCGGGGGAGGTAGCAACAAAAAGATCGAGATCAAGTGGCAGGGCAGGGGAGGATCAAGACACGTAGTTCAATCTAATGTCGCTCAACTGATTGCTGTTGTACAGGAGAAGGAGGGTTGAAGTTGCTGAATACCGTTAACAATGAACGCTCACGGTATGCTCTCCTTTCTCCTTTCTCTTTCCCTTCCTCTTCCACTCTCTCTCTCGTCTTCGTCTTCGTCTTCGTCTTCCCCCTCCCCTACCTCTCCCCTCACTGACTCCCCACCCTCGTGTGACTCCCTTCCTCTCTCCTGCAGGCAACTACTCGCTCCCCTCGACCGGGATTGGTATGGGAGGAAGCATGATGGGACAGATGCAGCAGCCGCTTCTTCAGTCAAAGGACCTCACGGAACAGGCGAAACAATGCCAGGTAGGAAGAGATGAGGGGGAAGGGGAGAGCGAGGAGGGGAGAGGGGTGAGGGGAGAGGTAGGAGGGGGGAGGGAGGAGGGGGAAGGGAGGAGGAGGAGGGAGGAGGGGGGAGGGAGGAGGAGGAGGGAGGAGGGGGGAGGAGGCAGAGGAGAGGGAGGAGGAGGGGAGAGGGGAGGGGACAAGGAGGAAGGAGGAGGGGAGATGGAGGATCGGGGACAGAGAGACAGGTGGGAGGAGTAAAGAAAGGAGGGGCAAGAGGGGAGAGGGAGGAGGAAGGAGACAATGATAGGAATGTACACAGGAAGCCATCGAGATGATGCTGCAGTCATATGAGGGCATCTTGCTCCAAGTACATCTTGTTGCTGCTGCTCCTTCTGTTGACCAACATGGACAGGCGCGAACTTATCCAACAGCTGCAGACTGCACATCGACGGTGAGGAGGAGGAGGGTGGAGGAAGGGAGAAGAGGAGGAGCTGGGGGGAGAGGAGGATGATCTGAACAGAAGAGTTTGAGAGGATTGGCAGACGAGCATGCAGCTGCAAGTAGAGAAGATCGCATACGCATCCGAGACGCTCCTCCAGGCACATCCTCCTCCTCCTCCTCCTCCTCCTCCTCCTCCTTGCACACATCTTCCTTGCTCGATGCCCGTACCGCCTCCATGATCATCATCTTCTCCACCACCTCCTGTCATGCGCCAACTTCTTGAGACTTTGTTCAGACGATCAGTGCCCTGCGCGTCTCAGGCGTTGCCAACAACGTCCCTCACCTCAACGCGTGAGATGGTCTGCTGCTCGCTCGATGACGCTGATGAAGAGAGCAGGCACATGGAGAAGCGAATCAAGGATCTCAAGGACACAGAAGTGTGTTCGATGATGATAGGAGGAGGAGGAGGAGGAGGAGGAGGAGGAGGAGGAGGAGGAGGAGGAGGAGGAGGAGGAGGAGGAGGAGGAGGAGGAGGAGGATGATGATCGGCTGCTGTCAAAATCATGGAAGAGAGTAGGTGGGTGATGGCACCCCTACCCTGCTTTTGCAGGGATTCAACAGGGGTCCCAGTACCCTCCCCCCAACGTAACCCTTCATGCTGCTGGCGGGTCCCCCTGCTCTTTCTTCTGCCCTCAAGCTTCCTCGCGGTGCTGTGCTGCATCCCAACCCGCTGCCATGCGCCGTTCCGTTCTGTCAGCGGCGGCAGTCCTCTCCCTCTCCCTCTCCCTCCTCTCTCTCACCCCTTCCAACGCTTCCACTGGCGTGTCTTCGTTCTCTTCATCCCAC